TCCAGCGATATGCCGATATTAAATGCAGAGGAAGACATAGTCCCCACCCCACCTTTTCCCTATACCTTCCCCAAAGGACACTTTATAGTTTTCTGAAGTTGGTGGAATATATTTATGCAGAAAAAAAGCAAAATTCACACTATTAGGTATTTCGAATGGAACTGGTTTATTTTCATTCTCAAAATATATTTGATTCAGGTTCTTTGGATGAGTTTTCAAGGATTTATGGCTCAAAAAAAAATCATTTAAAGTCATTCAATCATAAAAGTAAAAAGAAAACGGCATTCGAATGAAATTTAAGCCCTTCCCCCTTACGTGTTACAGATCTAAAATAAGTTAACTACATATAATTTGTGCTTTGTTATCTACCAGTATACGGTTATTTACGACAAGGAAAGTATTGGTTGAAAGAAAACATCACAAAAACAACTCTGCGTCATGCACAAGTAATTTACATTTACAGATTTTACACGTAATTTTACATGTACTCAGGATTTTTTAGATATTAAACTCTGGATATTTGTAAACAAATATCTATTAATTTTTGTCAAATTATATATCTGCTTTTTTATAACACCCCACCCCAAGCTATAAATGGTGGCAATATACATGTATGCAATGTATACGCCAATAAAGATACTAAGTTACTATAATAAATATAAACATTATCCAGGGCCATATATTACGGCGCCGTTGAAGGGCCAGGTAAAAAAAATATTTTTATTTGTTCGGATAAATTAGAAATTCGTTCGGACGAATTAGTTATTTGTTCGGACGAATTAGATATTCGTTCGGACAAATTAGAAATTCGTTCGGACGAATTAGAAATTCGTTCGGACGAATAAGTTATTTGTTCGGACGAATTAGATATTCGTTCGGACAAATTAGTTATTTGTTCGGACGAATTAGATATTCGTTCGGACAAATTAGAAATTCGTTCGGACGAATTAGTTATTTGTTCGGACGAATTAGATATTCGTTCGGACGAATTAGTTATTTGTTCGGACGAATTAGATATTTGTTCGGGCAAATTAGATGTTTGCACAAATTATCCTGTAAAGAGAGATATACAATTTGTCTATTCAGGAGGATTCATCCTTTTTTAATACATAAATAGCTCTTTGGACCATGACATACACACGTAGCAACTAGACATGTGATATTAAAGTCGGGTATGTTGATTGTAAATATTCGGAAATAACGGATCTACTGCGTATACCGGTTTATACATTGTATTATTGGCCTAAAGTCTGCCATTCTGAAAGTATATTTTCTGAGAGCCCACTAGTAAATTCAAAGGGTCAGTTACTTCTTATCAAACATCTTTTCACTCCCATCCCTGACTAACACTGGGGTGCCAGTGGTCAGTTACCGCTTCTTTGAAAAGATGAGATCCACTCCTTAAGGTTTTACTCCTACTGCAGGCAATTGGTACGGGAAAAAATTGGCATTGAAAAAGTAAGCCCCCCCCCCACGAAATAGGACTGTCAACATTGGGCAACTTTCAAAAACGATGCTACGTGGCTGCATTGTATTAAAATATCGAGCCTCTTATTCGAGGGTCTTAATTTTTTTTAAGGTGGGGCTTACTAGCTAGGACATTTGTAGATTTGCTTCTATACCGCTGTTCCCACATTTAAGTATTTTGTGATAAAGGAACAAAAAGAGGGAATCTCATAAGTCCATCTCCAATGGATTCTTTCTAAGATCGTTAAAAACTATTATTAAGTATCTATATAAATTTTATTTTATATTTAAATATCAGAAAAGCGCATGAATTAAAACATACAGGTATAATATTGACCAAATTAAAACACACGCCCCTTTCCGGGAAAAGGATAAAAAATAGATGAATACATGTACGTTCCTAGAAAGTGCAGTAAAATTTAAAAACACATCATAATTTAATGCAAGTTAAGGTTCTCAATGATTAAGACAATCGATCGTTTTTTAAATAGAGGAGTGGGGGGGGGGGGGGTGTTACTTGAAAATATTTTGACATTCATTCATGATTTATTTTCCCCGTAAAAGGGGTTGCTTTCATAATTTCCCTTTCTATGTGAGTCATTGGCCTATCAAACCTTCAAACTGGTACTCAACTGTAAAAGCGTATAAACAAAATTAAGAAATGCTGAAAGTGAAATTAAATAGTTTGTTCGACTACATGTACCTCTCCAATAACGGGAGGGGGTTATAATTATGCTCTGAAAATCAATGGACTATAGGGAATATACCAGATTGATCGGTTGACCTCGTAATTCACCGGCTCGCGAGTCATATGAACAACCTGGCATCAATACGGACAGGTTAATTTTTGTGAAGTTTTCTAAATTCACAAACAGGAATATTTAATTAAAAACTCAATGAGGACCTTTTAATCATTTTATACACCGCATATGTACCAGATTAATTGATTGAATGTTTTACGCCGAATCGGCAATATTTCAGCTAAAAATCGGCTACATATGTATCAGAAATGTATTTCAAAAATCAGTCACATGTCATGATTAATAACTGCACGGTAGTGAATATGTACATAAAAATCATAAGAAAGAGATCAACATTAAAACGACTTATCTTCAAAATATTTATTGATATTATGTTGTTCATTAAAGTTATTTTGCAAAGAATCAAAATAAAATGAAACGTCTTGGTGCAAACCGCACATTATTCGCGGTTTCCTGATAGTTGTTCACAATTTCTCTAATTTGTCCGAACAAATAACTAATTCGTCCGAACGAATTTCTAATTTGTCCGAACGAATATCTAATTCGTCCGAACAAATAACTAATTCGTCCGAACGAATATCTTATTCGTCCGAACAAATAACTAATTCGTCCGAACGAATTTCTAATTCGTCCGTACAAATAACTTATTGTCCGAACGAATTTCTAATTTGTCCGAACAAATATCTAATTTGTCCGAACAAATAACTTATTTGTCCGAACGAATATCTAATTCGTCCGAACGAATTTCTAATTTGTCCGAACGAATATCTAATTCGTCCGAACAAATAACTAATTCGTCCGAACGAATATCTAATTCGTCCGAACAAATAACTAATTCGTCCGAACGAATTTCTAATTTGTCCGAACGAATATCTAATTCGTCCGAACAAATATCTAATTTGTCCGAACAAATAACTTATTTGTCCGAACGACTATCTACTTCGTCCGAACAAATAACTAATTCGTCCGAACGAATATCTAATTTGTCCGAACAAATAACTAATTCGTCCGAACGAATTTCTAATTTGTCCGAACAAATAAAAATATTTTTTTACCTGGCCCTCCAGCGGCGCCGTAATATATCATAGGCTTAGCCCCCCCTTTTTTTTTTACAAAGATATACATAATATAGCCATTAGGCATTAAAAAATTGGGGCTTACTTATTTGTGTTGGTTTAACCCCCCCCCCCCCCCCCCCACACACACACACATTTTCAATAAGCCCCCCTTTCAGTTTTCTTCCGACGCCTATACAGTTGAAAATTATTTTTCACGTTTTTATGCAAGTGCATGAAAATTATCTACGCGGATTTAATGTAGTGAAATGAATGTTATTTAGATATAGAAATAAAAACCGATTGTTGCTTCGTGTGATACTATATAATACAATTCCATGTATTGTATGCATCGACGTGGGGATTTGTTATAGCGGACATGTGCATTCAACGTGCAAACATGTGAGTTCTACTTTGAATCCAGTTTACAGAGGTGCTAATGTTTCAAATAATAGATAATTTCCCGTTTCAATAAAATGAATTTAACAAAGCGACAGGAAACTAAATCTGTAAAAAAAAAAAAAAAAAAAGAAGAATTTTCTTCCATTTCTCCCTGGCATTGATTCCTAATGATTGCATCTATTATGACGTCATAAATGACGTACACTGAGTAACGTCACGTACAACTGTGATTACCTATCAGTTTTTCCCCTTTGATTTCAGAAAATGTAGTTTTTAAATTCTTCACCACATTTATTGTCTTCAGCGAACAATTGACTGCTTTTTCTATCACCTTGTGTGTTATCTATTTAGTCGATGTCTTATGACCCACCAATTAGTGACTGACTCTAAAAAATTACCGTTTCTTGATAACAACAAAGTTTAAATTTAACTCTTAATTCATTAGGCTACTTGTCAAAGCCATAAACAACAATATTAATTGACATCAAAGTTTTTATTCGCGGTATTCATACATATAATACGTTTGAAAGTTGCACTTGCCTGTAAATCAATCTAACTTAGAAAAGAAAAGTCGATAAATCGGCATTTTTTAAAAAAGTCTTTTTTTTTTTAAGACTGAACCCATCATATTTATTCCAGCAGTCAAATGTGTCTATGGGTGCCTCAGATAACATTTTCTTACTTGTGGGATATGAGTGTCTATCCACTCTCAAAATCAATATTATACACCTTTCTAATTGATCTTTTAAAGTTTGCGTAATAGACAAAGACAAATATGGTGGTTCTTGATCATAGCTTTTTTACACACGTTGACATTTCATTTTATTTTTTTTCAACATGAGCACACTTGTTACCGCAGAACATTTTCATTGGAAATTACTTCTCGAACAGTTATGATTATTTTTCTGTTTCAATATTTTGCGGTAACGACTGTGCTCTATGCGAAAACCACGATTTATTATGTAAAATTTGAGCAATTTTCCGGAAAACCTCGAACCATGCTGCGGTTTATAATTTAGTATGACATCGTAATATCCGGTTTTGACGAAATTGTTGCACATGTGAAATCTACCGATGTTCTAGGTTGATAATAACCCAAAACATATTTTCTAATGTCCTTTTCATAATTTACAAATTTGCTAGGCCAAATAAGGCATTTTGTGGGTCGAATTCTTTATAGTAAATAGTTTTAAAAGGGGTGAAGGTGAAGTCAAATGTATGATACATGAATCTAAGTCAAAGTACATCTAAAAGCTAAGGTGTATATAAAGAGCAGTTCACAGTAAACCTGCACAGTAGACCTCTCAAGAGGAGCACTATGTTTAAAAAAATTATTTACTTGGTTTTAACCGCACACCTTTGTGAAAGTTTTCTGTTTAATGATGACAACCCACACGCTTGTAACCTTACAAATGGAGGCACACCTTTTATATTTGAGGTTCTGCCCGGGCTAGGATGGGACAACCTTATTAACGAAAACCGAGGCGTTGTATTAAACTACAATTACTCTTACTGCAAAACAACAGAAGACAGACGGTACCTTATCCCTAACGATGTCGTTGTGATACCAATTAAAAAGAGTCAAATGAACATTTTTTCGCAGATATATGATCATTGGTCCCAGTATGAATCAGACACGGCTTTTTCTATCAATGCAAATGGATATGGATGGACTCTAGCGGGAAAAATTTCTGGAAGTATGTCCACCGAATTTCAACACGTAAAATCACATCAAATCGAAGATAAAGCAATGACTACAAAAGTGCAAGCAAGGTTTCGTCGCTACACGGCTAAAGTCATACCTGATTCGCAGCTCAATCCAGAATTTCGGAAACGGGTTTTAAGAATAGCTAACCACATTCAACACAATCGCAGTTTGTCCACGCAATATGAAAGCCAGCTGCTGATAAGAGATTATGGGTCTCATGTTATAACTAGTGTAGAAGCCGGAGCATCGATTGTGAAAGTAGATCACATAAAGTCATCGATTACCAGTGACAGTACAATGGACAAAACGACGATTTCTGTCGCCTCTAGCTTTTCATTTCCTGGACTTTTCAGCGTTAGCTTATCATCACGGTTCAGCAATACTCAGAGTTCTGTGGATAAATATAATCAATACATAACTGATTCCGACATAAGGACGTATGGAGGTCCCATATTGAGCCCCGATAATTTTAATATTACCAATTGGTCAAACATGATCGGAAATGACTTAGTTACGATCGATAGAGACGGAATGCCCATTTATACAGTAATTTCACCTCAAACATTTCCCGAACTATCTGATTTTCTTGTTAACAATGTTGTTCAGAATGTACAAATGGCAATTTCAACTTATCTTAAGCACAATACGTACAGAGGATGCACCAATCCAGCCGATCCTAACTTTAGTAAGGTTGCAAATCTTGATGATGGGTCTTGTACGAGTCCTCTTACAAACCTCAGCTTTGGAGGAGTATATCAGATCTGCAGATTATCCGGACAGTCGTTACCAAATAACGAAAACCCCTGCGAAGGTTTATACACATTGAACCCTCAAACTGGCACGGATAGATGCCCGGACGGTTTTGATGCAATACCTCTATATAGCAGTCAGAAAGTGATCACTAGATCTGCACCTAGTTGTCACAGATGTTGGCTTTTTTTTAAATGCTGTCATGATGTCCCTGTAAGTGCAACAGCCCATTTTCAAGCATACTGGTGCCAGGCAGAAAGTGGAGCTCAATTGCCATCGGACAGCGGTTATTTATTTGGTGGTCTTTTTTCAAGTACCATTGATAATATAAATACTGGTTCAAAGTCATGTCCACAACATTACAATAGTTTCCACATCTTGTATAACACACAAATATGCGTAAGTGATGATTTTGAACTCGCAAGTCCATATGCCGTGCCTTTTGGTGGATTTCATAGTTGCCAAAGTATTAATCCACTAGCTAGCGGACCAGGATCATCTAAATATTGTCCAAAAGGCTTTAGTAACCATCTAGTTACCATTGATGATTCCTGCGAAGTTAACTATTGTATTCAAACAGGGAAATTGGGAGGTTTGAAGTTGCCCAGTGCTCAATTTCCACCTTACATTGATGTCCCAGCAGAAAGTATGGAAGAAGCCGCACACTATATGATCTCTGATGATAAAACGTCTTGGACTCGAATAGTCAATCCCAAAACGGGCAAGATCCATCCCGACGAGAAAAAATGGACCTCCATGCAGTCTTCATCTACAGAAAAGAGCAATTTAAAACAGACATTCTCACAAAATTATGATGACATTATGCATGGAAGCGGTTTGTCGAAAGGAGCAGTAGCAGGAGTGTCCGTCGCAGCGACAACTACATTTTTTTGCCTTCTTGTGGGTATTTTGGTTGGAATTAGGCGTCACCGAAGAATACGATTAGAACACTCCAGACTTCAATAAAACTGTCTGTCATATAATTAATTTTATCTTGATAAGTATTCAAATAGAATGATAAATTTTGAAAGAAATCAAGATGTACATTAGCAAGAATGTTAAAGGTCATGAAATGTACAATTATGTTTATTTAAAATACTTTGAATTTATTTAAAATTAGTATTTTTATGTTCACAATACATCCATGACTGTATTATTTTTTACTTGATTGCATACAGATTTTTTTTAATTATCATTTTTAAATATATTTATTTCCAAAATAACAACAGGGTCTTGGGATGAAATATGCTAGGATATTCCTTGGTAATCCTCACATATGTTGCCGAGGGCCCAATTGATTGGATAATCTTAATATACAACATTAAATTAATCTATGTAAAACATCTGACATGGCAAGAAGAACAACTCAGTTCGTCAGTTTACATTTCTGTATTCTGATAATCTCTTATCAGCAATTGACCAGATTCCGCTAATTTTGCGCATGCCTTCATTCTTCCAGCGTGCATTGCCTTGTCAACATACATTCGCCAGCCATCTTGATTTGTTTATTGTATTCATTGTTTCACTATGAACACAATAAGGCGGTGAAATGTATTTGTTAATTTTATGCACATGTTTTTTATGATTGTGAAATGTTTTTCATTTTGTTTAATTAGTATTTTGGCATGATTTGTCTCGTCATTTATTAGTTCAAAATAAATGACAATTTTCAATTCAAACTCTCCTCATTTTGTTTTTAGAATATCAAACGGAGCAAAACTATTGTCAGTGTATTTGCATAAAATCTTAATTTACAGCCTTAAATTAATTTATGTAAAACATCTGACATGACAAGAGGAACAATTCCGATTTTTCTCTTCGCTAGTTTACATTCCTGTATTCTGATAATCTCTAATCAGCAATTGACCAGATTCCGCTAATTTTGCGCATGCCTTCATTCTTCTGGCGTGCATTGCCTTGTCAACATAAATTCGCCAGTCATCTCACAAATCTTTAATTCCAATTTCGGTACACAGCAAATGTTTATCCAAGACATAGATCTAGACAGAAATTTTCCTAATTTCTTCCGAAAATAGCCATTTTCAATATAACTACAAAATATCGACAATATTTGAAATGAATGAACACATCTGAAAAAAATGTGGCTATTGAAGGTTCTATGATATAAAACACTAAGTAGATGTTTTATACGTAGATCATGCTCTTGTGTATCGAGTCTACAGAGAGATATAAACTCTGTATACCGGTGATGAAGGTACAAAGCTAAATAAGAGATGGAAGTTGACGACAAAAAAATTAATTAAAGTCATCAAGTTTATTGTAAACCCTGTTTGCTAGGTTACCATTAATGTCTTTTTCAAGATAAATAATTACCCAAATGTAAAATATATGTGTCAGACCAAGTGGTATCTTTTATTTCAAGCTCACCGGGATATATCGTAAAGACATAAGAATGAAAACAATTATTGTTTGTGGCAATACGTCGTCTTACTGTAGAGTTGAAGGCAATCGCAAGTGTTTTCTCGAAAAAGATTTGAACAAAATATGCCGCATATGAATATATATAGATACGCTAATATTTCCATTTCTAATTTTTCTCTCTGTGATAACTCTTTGAAAGTTAGCAGAGTTAATTTCTTAATAAAGCTACCGGAATGTAAAATAGGCATGTCAATAGGTCAGGAGCTAAGGAGGCCTAATATGCATGCTAATCTCGTGCGCATCTGTCTCTGAGTCTGACGCTAAGGAGGCCAAATATGCATGAGAATTTCGTGCGGCTGCCGTTGTGTTTGACGTCTGTGGGCGAGGACTACTGACATTAGGATGGGAATCCTCGTCTAATTTAAATCTATGTCTGCATTTTTAAAGTCTAAATTTTATTTCACAATGAAATGGAAATATAAGGAATCACTGTCTAGTTAGCAGAGTATGCCAGGGACATCAACAATAGTGGGAAACATGGGATAATTTATGCATAACGGGCTTCGTTATTCCTTAAATAATTGGGCGCAATTTGTACTCTGTGGAATTCACATAGATATTTCAATTGAAACTTCTTTTTAGTATCAACTTGAAAGTACTGAAAACGAGTAATTTTTCGCGACTGTGAAAGAATTTCTACCAATAAAAATTACAATAAATTGGTTGCGAATATGTAGGTTGCGAAACTCGCGAATATTTTTTACTCGGAAATAAAAGTTGGTTTATAGTAATTATGCGTATATATTAAGATGTTTTTAACAAAAACATTGTTAATGACCAATGAAAAGGTATTTGATGTTGTTTTGCAGTATTTCGGAACATTTTAATTTATGTTGATACAATTTTACACATGTATTTTAGTGAGAAGTAAAGAAATAGGAATGGAAAATTATCAAATAAAACCTTTTTCGTATCAATGTTCTCTGTGATTTTATGATAGTAAGGATTGAAGCATAAGTATGATAATTCCAACACAATTTCATGGTTGGAAATGTACAAAGGTTTTTAAAACTACATATGATTCGTTTGAATACTTCTTGAATACTGATTAAATCTAAGTCTTTCTTAACTGAAGTTATATAAAATTACAATCAAAAGTGATTGATTGTGTTGAATGGTTCAGATCATATCAGGTGTTGCAAAAGACTTTAATGGGTCCTTTTCGTAACATACTAACTTCTGCATATGTATTTTCTAAGAAAAACTGAAAATACATGTCAAATATTTTCTTAGCTATATGCTTTTACAATTGTTAATGACAAAAACAACCAATATAACATTTGTCCTTTTTGTAATTATTAAATTCAATCAATTTTCTTATAAAGCCCGCTTATGGCATACTGGTCTGACTTTTTGATTTCGCCTTTCTCCTGTTGCAAAATCTCAGTATTCGTTTTCTACTAATACTTAAGACTGATTTGTTACAAAAAACATCTATAACGCAATAGTTCAGAGCATTGAAACGTATTAGAATCAAATTTAGATGATATCTATGAAAAGATGTACCATGAATCTTTTAAACTCAGTATTTTAACTCACTTCAAATAAATATTTTTTAAGAAATATATTTCATATTTTCAGTAATACATGACACATTAAAAAAAACTTGAAATTAAAATTGATATTTAAATAAAATCATTTGAAATCAATTTGCTTTGGTAACGAAGCATAATAAACAGAAATGTTCAGTCATATTTCCATAAAAATCTGATAAAGAAAAATTGTCCATTTATTAATTCCCAGGGTAGGGAGGGGCTTTTTCTGAGGTGGTCTGATCAACCGGATATCCGGTTCCAGAGTATCCGGTCCCAGCATTATATGCATTGTTTTGTCCAGTTCCGTTGCTAGGATACGGTGTTGTTCCATATCCAGTCTGAGGTGGATAGGAATTCATTATGTTTCCATTGGCTGGCGCTCCATACCCAGTGTATGGTGGAGGGGCTTGATAATTTGGATTGTTGTGGCCTAAAAAATAAATGATTCAAATACATGTAGCTGTCAATCTCCTTGACACATTTCTAAGGTATGTATGAAATAAATGACCATTGCAAAACAAAAAAAACTAAAATAGTAAGTGTTAGGATTCCGAAACGAACAATAACATACTCGTATGCTATTATCAAAAATGATGATTCATCATAGTGCTTTTTGTGACTATCATATTTTACATATAAATAATTTTCACCTGCGGCTGTTGCCGTCACGACCTGCTGATGACCACCAGTTCCAATTACAACCCCCCGTGGATGATATCGACGACGTCTACACACAATGATAATCACAGTGATGACAACAATAGCAAAAACAATGCTCCCAACCACCGAGCCGACCACGATACCAACTGTGGAATAAAAGTCAATCCAAAATACGGTACATACATCGATAATGGTTTCATTTCAAAAAGGTAAAAATGTATCTCAAAACAGCTTAAAATTTGACACTCACTTTTAGATATATCGGAGAATAAATAACATGACAACTATATGTAAAAGGGAAAGAAAAAAGTTCAAATTGGTCCATTTTTGGCCCTGTGAATTTCTGAAAAAAAAATCAGAACTACTCAGTTTCAGTTGAAAATATGCTTTATTTCACTTGGATCCTGGGTGATTTCATTTCAAATAAAAATGACGTAATTGTTTCTCTTGTCTATATATTATGACGTCTTTGATTTCGTAATTTTCCTCAAATCTTGAAAATTTCCTTAAAAATGATATATTTAAGCTGTTTTTTAATATTAAGCAAAGCCCCCAACCTCTGATCTAAAAAGTTTAATTATAGAATGAAAGAACTGTTTCAGAAGATTCCAATCCATGAAATTTTTGTTGGATCGTGGGGTGGGCTTTTATTTTTATCAAAAGTTGAAGATGCTCAGTATCACCCATTTTCTTCAAAAATCAAAAACATTGCAGTTTCACAACGCCTGAGTTTCTAAACCTGGACTCTCAGAGGAATTTTTTTATAGGAAATGAAAGTACTAAGTCTCTACTTTATGTTGATGTTCGAAATGGGCTGTTTGGACTCTGTGGGTTAATTGGTATATTGACAGGGCCATTTTATGGCATTAGTGAACCTACCTCTTTCAGGGTGTATTGTTTTTTCTTGCCATTTTACACTACATATCAATTTACCGTTGAAAATATTTTAAAAAGTCATTAAAACACTTAAAGAACTAGATGAGGGATATAAAGATAACGAACAGTATTCAATATCAAAGTCCATAAAACAATACAAAATAGGAGCAGAGCAAACACGGACCTCCAAAACATCAGAGGTGGGATCAGATATAATTCCTTATTTAAGCATTATTTTACACACACAGAAATAAAAGACCAGGGGATGCTCATTCGATCATGACATCGGATCCGATATCTGTTTTTTTTTTTTTTTTTTTTTTTTTTTTGTATATCGTTTTCTTATGTTCTAGTTTTCAAAAGATTTGAATGACATGCTGACATTTTTTTGCTCAACAGATGCCCAAAAATCTTCTCTGGAAGCAATTTTTTTCGTAATATACGGAACTTTGATTTTAGGAATCACTGTCGT